CTCCTGCTCTCTGAAGATGCCGGTCACAGATGCTGGCGAAACGTTAGGAAACAAAACTTCCGGAACACGGCCACACAGCCCGGAAGACTCACATCAGCCATTGAAGGATTGATCCAATTTAGCTGAAATCCTACTGAGAAGAATTTGCTTTCATTTTCAGGTAGCTCTGTCCAAACTAAATTATGATTAATTTTAGATGGGTTATCTTAATGTGAACCATAATTTGAAGCTGATGTGCTTTGATACATCATAGTTCAACACACTGTCCAAGTTCTGACATAGTAATAAATTGTAATTGAGTAAAAAAATAAAAGCAAATATTTTCAAGGTGCACACACACACACACACACACACACACAAATGGCCAGCTGTGTACAAGAAGAAAATAAAATATCAAAGTTAGTAGTATTTCCTTATGATGTAAGTATGAATGATTATAACAAGTCCAATGCCAAGTGAAACCTGAAAGTATCTTTGCAGAATGGCTGTCTACAATAGGAATATGAAGAATGTGGTATGAATGTGAATGTGATATGAATGAATTTGAAGCGTCAAATTCAAAGCAGATTATTGTTCACTCATGTCCTTAAATAGATTCTGTTTATAATTTACTTGTGTGATAATATCACAGTTTTGATTACTTAGATTTGGTTATGTGCTGGTATTGCTAAGGACAAATTGGCATATTTCTTATATTATTCACATGGTTAATCTTAACTGATTAGCAATTACAAACAATTGAACATTTAATACTCCTATGAATGCTTGTGAAAAAGTACTGGAAAGGAAAGGAAGATGCCCTATTTTATTAATAATGATTTATTTATAATAATTAAATGTGTATGCTGCCCAACTCTCAAGTCTCTGGGTGGCTCAGGATAATCAAAGAAATTACAATAAAACCAATAAAACATAACAAATGATAGAAGATGGCAAGTTCAATGCAGTGAGGGGTCTCACTCCCTTGCTGAAGGTCTGGGTGAAAACAGCAGTAAAGTGGGGCCATCCATATCTTCGGGGAAACCTCATTCCATAGGGCAGACACTGCTACAAAGAATTTTGAATCAGTTAACACACAGTAGTTTCATTGGAACACATTATAGTGTTGTGATAGAAAAAAGAATGTGCACTTTAATGAGAAAAACAGTTTAGAAATTTGCAAGATGAAAATTGAGATAGGCAAAATCTTTGGTCACTTTTAGAGCTTATTAATTATTGGAAAATTTGAGAAGCAAGATTCTGCAAGAATGTTTTTTTATTTCCAGTTGTTTGGATAACTGTAATCTGATATAAGATTCAAGATACCTGTAATACAAATTTTCTTAATTGTTTTAGGTGATATTCATGGCCAGTATACAGATTTACTTCGATTATTTGAATATGGGGGATTTCCACCAGAAGCTAACTATCTTTTTCTGGGAGATTATGTGGACAGAGGCAAACAATCCTTGGAAACTATCTGCTTGTTACTTGCATATAAAATCAAATATCCTGAGAATTTTTTTCTTCTGAGAGGAAACCATGAGTGCGCTAGTATAAATCGCATCTATGGATTCTATGATGAATGTAAGTAAAACTTTCTGTAAATGATTCCAGTTTATATCTCTTTTTTTTTTTAAATGACTGCAATATTTTGAAATGCTTGATATAACATTTATGGCTCTTCAAGCTTGTGAAGCATCCTCTTACAACATTTTAGTGAAGTAGTTGAGGAATTCATGTGATCTGTGTAGCTTTTTGAACAGTCATGCTACAGTGTAAATATTCTTCCAATTTTATTAGGTAAACGACGATTTAATATCAAACTCTGGAAGACATTTACAGACTGCTTTAATTGCCTGCCTATTGCAGCAATAGTAGATGAGAAGATTTTCTGCTGCCATGGAGGTAAGGAAAAAACCATTTTCATGTTGACAAAATTACTTCTTTGTGGAAAACTTAATAAAAAAATACTAAAAATGTTTGATTTCTTCTCAAACAAAATGTGAACTACATGATCCACCTGTCTCCTAGAATATCAACATTTTCCAGGAACCTGTCCAAGAAAATGTGATAAATCAGAAGTTCAGCTCCCTCAGGAGGGAACATAAAGCTTGCAAACAGGGCATGGGATTTTAATTCATTTTCCCAGTCCTGAAGAAAGACAGAGGTTATAAATTTGAAGAAACCAAATAGGTATGTTGATCTGTAGGCATTACACTCTTAATTTTTGCTGCATCATTTACCATTTGTTCTTTTCTAATCCTTCAAGTCACTTTGCAAATATTGTAGCTAGGACTTGTGAAGCAAAAGAGTAGGCATCTTGGCTTTGTTTAAGAGGCCGCCAAAGTGTATATGTCAGATGAGACAAGAAGTCCTAGGGCAGAATAATTTTTGGTGTGAACTAGAATTGAAATTACCTAATCCCATCTCAATAACTATAGTATTTCGATGATATTGCCAGTTTTGCTGACTGCTTCTGTACTTCAAGAAGGAGGAGCATTTGCTAGGCCAGATCAAGTCTTGTGGGCTTAGAGAACATCTTTGTTCAACCATGACTCCTTGAAGAATACAAAGCAATCATATACAGTGCCTAAAAACTTTCTGAAAGGGAAGGTAGACTTCAGCAGGGAGACTATGAATATCCAGAAGGAACCGACCAAGAAGTCCATCCACATTTCTCCTGGGATGGTAAGCACATTTCTTTGAGCCATTCACAGTAGAAGCCTGAATTTAGGAAGCTACTTGGATCAGTTAGAAGGAAATGAACCTGAAAGAATATGTCATAACCTAATACTTTGAATTAAAATGAGCAGGTTCCAAATAAGCTCACCCTTAAAAATAGCTTGATCAGTATTCCAGCTTCTGATACAGAACTTGCTTGATGTGAATTTGTCTCAGTGTGGGTGCCCATTAGATGGGCTTTAACTACTAGTTTTCTTAACAATGGCCCTATTGGCTAGGAAATTGTAGGAGATGAAGTTCACATCTCTGGAGTGCACCTATGTTGGGAAAGTCTGTTCTAAATCCATGCAAACACATGACTTTGCCTCATCACCAGGTACCTAGTAGTTACAAGAATGGATGAAGGAAAAATGAAAAGTATCATGATGAATTGTACATCAGTTGAAAATATATTGCCTAGCAGATTTATTGGTAGTATTTATTTGCTAACTATATATAAGGCCATCTTTTTATAAATTATTGTCTGGGAAGTTCATAATAATAACACACAACTAATATGTAATATTGTATAAAATAACAATTTCATAAAAGGGGCAATCTTTAAAAAAAATCACCAGAAAGTATTGATATGATTGGAACATTTCACACAACATAAACTGATTTAAAAACAAAATCACAGATTTTCAAAGTTCTTGTGAGAGTTTTTAAAAAATGAATCTTTCCCTGGGATTTAAGAATGACCATTAAAACGCAGTTGCAAGGAATGCATTTGTTTAACAATGCTTTTGGCAGTGACACCCAAGGTAGGTTGTCTGAAGAGGATCAGACTCAATACATATTGGAAAAAATGTTCTTAGTGTCTACATTAAGCTCCGAAATTAACAGCCCCAGTGAGCATTCTTGCCATTCTGCAAGACCAACTGGAAATCTATAGACTGTTTTTTCAAAGGGCATGATAATGATCCAGACGGAGGGTTAGTAGAACATCTATCATTATAATGAGGCTACATCCAGCCTATAAAGTTCTCTTTGGCTTCTGGTGACAAACAGTGATCAATTGGCACTTGAAATAGCTGTTTTGTTTCCATTTTTACCCATAGGACAGTCATACCAGCTTACAGTAACAAGACAAATGGGGAAGTGTGATCATAATAATGCCAGCACAGTTGGTTAGATTTCCTTTTATGAAGTGTTAGTGGGGCAATTTAAATGACTAGTCCTGGGTTAAGTGGCACAATGGCATGCACTTTGTTTAGTATTTGTTCTACTCACCTACATTTTCCTGTCTGAATAAAAGAGTTTGCGCATGTACTCAGGAAGAGAAAAACTATCTTTAAGATGCCGTGGAGTTCTTTTGTTTTATGCTAGGGACTGATTTTGGAATAAGTATATAGAAGACAATATTTGTCAGTAAAATGAGAATACCAGATTAGTTCCTATAAAGTTGTGAACAGCGTTATATAGTCATAAAGCTTCACTAGTCAAATCTTGAAAGAATTTATACCAAAGGATCAAATTAAGAATTATGGTTCCTATACAGAGACTGAACGATTTCTGATGGACTTTTCTTCCGTGATTTATTCCATAAAGGTTCACTATTAGCCCACCAATGTCATCTGACTCCTAGAAAATGCAGTAGTGATATGCAGATTTGTAATGTGAGCCTATGCACACATTAAGAATTTTTGAGCTGTCTCATTCCCTCATTGATAAGGGAAGCTTATTGAAAAAAGGAAACGCTTTTTGCTGCTAATCATACACTGTGATGTAATGTATGTGATTAAGAAATTTTATTCTGAAGGGTTGGTGTACAGATTTAAGAGCCATGCTGCATCAGTTCAAAGGATATGTACTTGAGCATTGTGTGTTCATTGTAGGCAACCAGAGGCCAGTGGGAAGTTCATAAGCAGCACATGAGCACACTTGTACTCTTCTGTTCATGTTCTCCAGCAGCTGGTATTGAGAGGTATTCTGCCTCTGATACTGGAGGCGCTATAGCCATCTTGATTAGAAATCCCTGATAGCCTTGTGTTCCATGAATTATTTTGGTAGCTATGTTTCATTTTTTCCTAATGGTCTCCAATGTGGAATTCATCTTTTTCATAGCCGTTTCATACTGTGTTTACCTTTAATTGAGTACAGTAACCCACTGCAATCCCAAATTCTGCTTTGTAGATCCTTGACAGATCTGACTATATCAACATATGAAAAGTTGGGTCTCTCTTACTTTTACACTTTCTTACATTAGATTGTATTTTAAATATTAATGTCCATTACTTGACTCCCATTTAGAGAGACCCTTTTGAAGCTCTTTACACTTTGTTTTAGTCTATATGTCACTTTGGAATAAACATAAGAGTAAAATATAGCCATCTATTAGCAGAACAAGTCATGTTGATGGAACAGTAAATATTACCTGCTTCCATGCACTGTTCCAAATGGTTGAGGGACCGTTTAGAATAGATTTGAACATGTAAGTTGGAAAAGTCATAGTGGGTGAGTAGAGGTTTGTTCTCAAGGCTGGTGATTTTTACCAAAATATTGTGAGAATTATGTTTAAAATAAATAATGCAACATGCATAGACTATGGCTTAAAACAGTAAATGAGAGCTAGTTAGTCTAGAATTGTTGATTGAGGATTTTTTCATCTCTCTTTAAAGAATACTGATGCATTTTCAGTGATGTTTTCTCAGTATCAGTTTTATACTTTGCCTGATGTATAGCATTTATTTACATAGGCACAGAATTGTATTCAGCAGTCTTATTTCATGAGTGGAATGGAGACAGATCAAATTCTCCATCTTGTGCATCCTTCATATTTGTGCTAGATAATTAAGGAATTCCCTAGAACTAGGTCTCTGAATAATTGTTTTGCACAAAAGGAAGTCTATTAGCATAGCATTAGATTTAGCTTTGCATACAAACTGGCCTATAATACAGTTTACTTGTTGTCTTTTTGCTTGTTTCCAGTCAATTGTGAAACAGATTAATTATTGTATTCCAAGCCTTTTTGATTTGTCATAATAAGACACTAGTAGCTGCAACAACTATACATCTTCTTGGTGTTGCTTTTATAAATCTTAGTTTGGATTGACAGGCTTGATTTCTAAGAATGCAGTCCTTTTTAAGCTTCTTCAGAAACAACACTTATTGAGTTTGATTTGTGTGTATATGTGAATTTGCATTTATATTTGCACCCTTAATTCCTGGTGCAAATTCTTTCTATATCTTAACATGTACAATGAATATTTTAGCTGCTAATTTCCTATTCTAATAAATTGTGTGGTTCTTTATAATAAACAAGATCTATCTACATAGTCTTTTACTTGGGTCCATAAGTGCTAGGGTTTTTTTAAAGGTTTTTCCTTACAGTCTTGTGCTACATAGGTTATGCCTTTTGATAATTAGGAAAGGGTGTTTGATTTCCAGAACACTATTAAGTGTGATTTAGAAATAGTGATGTTTTTTAAAAGCAGAAGTCAAAAGATCCATTACCGCATTTCCCTCCATAAGTGTATTTGTAGGAATGTTAGATTCCTATAGTGTTCTAACTTTTTCTTTGTTTACTCTTGTTTTTAATCACTTTGACTATATGAAATTGCAAGTTTTAAGGAGATCTGTGCATATTCTGGATAACAAAATATTTTAGGATTGCAGACATTTTTCTAGGGACCGTATTAGAACTCTAACCAAGTGGATTCATTTGAATCATTCTATGGAGTAAACTACCTTAAGTCTAGGAATTTAATTCAAAATAAATGCTTAGATTATCTGTGCTCAGCATTTTTTCCCACCATGAAAATAATAACTATATGGAGACGACTATATATGGTTATTATTGAAGTATAACATAAATGTTCAGTGTCTTGCAAGTGTACAAATCTGCTGATTCATGTGATGTTCGTGGGATGTGTCTCGCATACCAAAGTATCAGAAAAGCTTGCAACAAAATATAAGTCTCCATATCTTCTGTATATTCTAACCCTACTCTTACTTTCTGTTTGTTCTTCCTCCCCCATTTCTTCTCTCTGTTCCCTTGAATTACTTGTTCTGTACTGTTTTAAAACAACACTTCAGCAGCAGCACACTAGAACTAAAACCATTAGGGAAGTGTTGCCTCAGAGGCAACCTTTTGTTGAATACTTACTAGTGAAGCTTCAGTGATAGCAGTCACTCTGTCTAGTCAAGCAATCCCTTGCAGCAATGCTAGTCCTTTCTGAGGCAGCCTCAGATCCAGAATGCCACATGCTGCTTACCCCTGTTTCCCTCAGGATCACCCCACAAAATGTAAGCAGATAGTAGCAGGAAATGACCCTGCTGCCATACTGTGGCCCAGACAAGAAAATTCAAGATAGCATTCCAGTCCCATTGCTCAGAACACTTAAGACAGCACAGTTCAAAAAGGCTGTGGTTGTTAAAAGTGCTTGCCAAAAAACAGTTCTTAAAATGCCTGCTTTTCAGTTTTGAGCATGAAATACTTGAACCATATGTTCTGAGCTTAAAAATGTTGAATGGTTTTGTATATGTTTATAAAAAAACAAATTCAGACTGCTAAGTGTGTATGTTCCCACTCCTATGCCTGAATGCTGAACTATAACTCTTCAGCCAAGAATTTTGTTTTATATTTATCTGTAAACTATTGGAAATGGGCCAGTCAAGAATTCCTTTCCTGTTACTCAAACATATTAAAAGTGATGGTAGTACTGTATTTAAAAGTATAACATCAGTATAAGTAACACCAAGTATTGAAGTGACTACAAAAATCCAATAAATAAGACTGATTAACTAGATTGTGCTACATTGAAAACTATAGGAAGCAAATGCTGTTGAGCAATAAGTTCACAAACTTAAAATCTCTTGTTGCTGACAGGATTGTCACCAGATCTGCAATCTATGGAACAGATCCGAAGAATTATGAGACCCACAGATGTTCCTGACACAGGTGAGACTTTCTTAAGGATTATGAATATGCTTCTGCGGCTGCCATTTTAGTAGCATATTCTCAGACTACTTAATAACCTGGTCCTGAAACTCTAATATTTATAAATTAATATACACTAACTAAAGGGTTGGGGGGGGCGGGTTAGAAAATTTGTTATTAAACAAGTTAATTATAGAAAATGCACTTTAGAAGTTTCCTAGTTCTTAATACTGTGGCTTTAATCCAGACAATGGGAATTTTGTCCCACTGGATTCAGAGATAACTAATTGTGACTTAGTCCAACCCTATGTATTAAATTGTTTTTTAGATTTTAAAGAAGTGTGGGGTAGGCTATTTGTATATGGAACCCAGTCAAACATTATAGTTTATCAGTTTCGGCTCTCAGGATTGTTTGTGTATTAACTAGCTTCTTATTAAATCATTCTATTTTTTAGAACTTGACTTGAAACCAGTAGATTGTAAACTAGTGCTTCATGATTGTAGCCTTGGAAAATGTATAAAATTAAGAATATATGTTTATGCTATATAAATAAATTTAAATATAATAATAACAACAATAATATCATTTGTAAGCCTAATGAATGTATGCTTTCCTCCTTTTTAAGGCTTGCTATGTGATCTGTTGTGGTCTGATCCTGACAAGGATGTGCAAGGCTGGGGTGAAAATGACCGTGGCGTTTCCTTTACTTTTGGAGCTGATGTGGTCAGCAAATTCTTGAACAGACACGATTTGGATTTGATTTGTCGAGCTCATCAGGTATGAAAACATTACTAGTTAAATTTGGATTTGATTTTTTATTCTCAGAGAATTATACTTTGGCAAGCTTTTTAATTTTTTGCATACAGTGTATTCTGGCATGTAGATGAGCCAATGTAAATTGGATTGCAGATAACTATCCACTTCTATTAATGAATGCAAATACCCTATTGAACCCAAATTGTTCCTGTGGAATTACTGCACAGAACTATAGTTATTGTCACACTGTATGCTCATGTACTCTGGATTTTGAATCTTTGATTTTAAAATGTGTTATAAAAATTTTTGGAGAGCTTTTGTATAGGTTGTCTGGCTTATTAATTTTCTCATATACTTATATATTCTTCATTTTCTCTTATTTTCATTAGTTTGCGATCTAAAATTTTAAAATTTTAAAAAATCTAATTTTATATATGTTTTCAGCTATTAGACAAAATATTTACTCCATAACTTGCTATCTAAAATTACAGACATATTTACAATTGTATTGATCTTGGCTTTTTGTTCTTCTCACTAACAGGTGGTTGAAGATGGCTATGAATTCTTTGCTAAACGACAGTTAGTTACTCTATTTTCTGCTCCTAATTACTGTGGAGAATTTGACAATGCTGGTGGCATGATGAGTGTGGATGAAACTTTAATGTGTTCTTTTCAGGTATGATAAACTAATTTTTTTAAGTATCTCAGTGTTTATGTCTTAAGATAATTAGCCATAGGTCATAAATTTACAAGCATTAGTATGTGCCTAAAACTAAACTAGAAAAAAATTAATTGGCATTACTTAAGATGATATTTAATTGAATCTTGATTGAAAATTAGAATGTTGGATTGTAAGTGCTGTGATCTCTGTTGGAAAGCACTTAGTGTCAATGGAGTCTCTTGTGAATGTATGTAAAATAATAGCCCAGTTTGTGCAAAAAAAAAGCTATGTGGGGTTTGGTGTTACAGATAGTCCTCACTTAACGACTGTTCATTTAACAATGGTTCAAAGTTATGGCGGCCTTGGAAAAAGTGCTTTATGGCTTGTACTCGCACTTATGACCATTGCAAACATCGCACCATCCCCTGTGGTTGGGATTTGTGACCTTTTCTACAATGGTCGCTAAGTGAATCACTGCAGTCATTAAGCAAATCACTGCAGTTAAGTGAATTCCAGCAAAAACCATCCATTGGGGAAGGTGGATGTACTGAATGTCCACATAATTCGATTAACAACCACTGTGATTCAATTAATGACTGTTGTAAAAATGCTTGTAAAATCGGGTCTGGTTATGTGGTGACTCGCTTAATGACTGCCCCTCTTAACAACCAGTTTTCTGGGCCCTGTTGTGCTCGTTAAGTGAGGACTACCTGTATGTGCAAAGATTGTCATTTACAAAACTCCAAGCTCCCATCTTTCTGCTATCTTCCATTTGGCCAAGAGGAAGAATAAAGTAAAATTTATTTGCTTATTTCTGATACCACAGCAATCAAGAATTTCACTGATTTTTTAATTTCACTTTAGCAATATCATAGGTATTTGTAAGCCCTGCTGTTGCAAAATGTTTTGCAGAGCTCTACAATTTCATTGTATACAGCCCATATATAAGAGCTGAAATATGCTACTTCCAAGTCAGTCATAGGGTACTGGAGCACAGTCCAAATCACCCTGTTTTGTTCCAAGCTCCAAATAAATCTCCAGAACACTTGGTGTTTTTTCTAGAGTCCAAAAAACTCACTACCTGGAAATAATTTGTTTTGTTTTGTTTAGCAAATTGGAAATTTTCTTAAACAGCAGTTCCCAATTCATGGGTAATGGTATCTCCAAAATCCTTTTAAGCAAAACTAAATTCTTGTTTGGTATCTCCTTAATCGTGTACGTAATGAATAAGAAAATAAGAATGTGTAACTGGAGTTTTGTATCATCTCAGTTGTGCTTGTGAATGTAACATAGCCCATTTCCTTGTTCCTCTGAAATACTTTTGACTAATCAGTCTACAGGAAGTCCTCGCTTAATGACCATTTGTTCAGTGACTGTTAGAAGTTACAACAGCACTGAATGAATAATACTTAATGCCCAGTCCTTGAAGTTATGGCTGTTGCAGTGCCCCCATGGTCACATGATGAAAATTCGGGTGCTTGGCAGCCCGCCTGCATTTACAACTACAAGTTATACTTCATCTCCCCCCACCCACATATCTTCCCCCCATCTCTGCTCTTTTGGCCACCCTGCACTCCCCTGCCACCTTGCTGCCCTCTCAGCAGCCGCCCCGAGCCCAGCTGCACTCGGGCCAGACAGCGGCAGCTGCTTACACACCCTCCTACCCCTGGCAGCAGCTGCCCCTGGCCCAGCTGCACTTGTGCCAGGCCACAGCAGCCACATACTTATCTGCTGGCCTGCTTGTGAGTCACCTGGGACTCGCGACTTCCTGCCGGTTTTCTCATTGGTTCTGCATGTTGGAAGCCTGCAGGAAGTTGAAAGGATGTCCCAGCTTAATGACCTGCGATTTTTGCTTAACAACGTCAACAGGGGCTGCCAGAATTGCTGTTGCTAAGTGATACGGTCATGTAACATTGTGCTTTATGATTGCAACACTTAGTGACAGAAACTCCGGTCTCAGTTACAGTAGACTGATAACATGGTGTTCCTGGGCCCCACTGTCTGCAAAATGACCTTCACATACTAGAACAGATAATTGTTGCAGGTCAAATCTGGTAGCCGTAATGTACCAAGGTTTGTGGATGTGCAAGGTGAGAGAAAAAGCCTGAGACTGTATAATCTCTGTTAACACCATAGAGATTCAAAAGAGTGGGTTTATATTTGGGTCATCTGTCCTCCTTTTTGCCATGTATTTATGATCTTGGGCTAGTGATTTGTTTTCTATTCTTTCCAGTTTTCCTAAGTGGAGGTTGGTGTAGCTAGCCTCAGCCATGGCAGCCATTTTATGGTGACATAAAATGCTTTTTTAGCATGCAAAATATTTCCCCAGCTCAAAAAGACTGAACTACTCTTTTTCCTCTTTAAGATTCTGAAACCTTCTGAAAAGAAAGCAAAGTACCAGTATGGTGGACTGAACTCTGGACGTCCAGTCACTCCACCTCGCACAGCTAATCCGCCGAAGAAGAGGTGAAGAAAGGAACACAGTAGAAAATCATCAAATCTGTAAAGGACAAAACTCCATATATACAGTATATAATAAGTGTGCACTGTAAAACCATCCAGCCATTTGACAACCTTTATGATGTCACATCTTTAACTTAAAGAGACGGGTAAAGGATCTTTAATATTTTCTAGTTGACAGATGTGCAACACTGTATTGTAATAAGTATACACCAAGTTTCAGTAATCAACATAAAGTAAATCAGATCTAAACAAATTATTTTGGTTGCCTATTCATGTCAGTTTTAAAGTTGACCAACATCCCAATTTAAGCTTAATGTAATAGTTAAATCAGATGAGAGCATGATGTTTCATTTGTGTAATGTGGTCTTACTGTTGCTTGATTGCTTTTATTTCTATTTTGTAGCTAGAATGATGGCAAGGTATCTTAGTAATGTTCCCTGGCTAAAAATGAACTGTGGAAGGGATTTGGGGAGCCAGCTGTTGCTGTTCTTCCTCTTCCCAGTAATCTTGCTGACTAAGTGTTTGCCCCTCTAATAGGAGTCTGGTGATTAAGGACAAGCCAAACTCAAGCTAGTTCCTACAATAATGTTCCTTCTCCAAAGAGACTAGAAGTCAGTGTTTTTCATGAGACAAAGCTTGTTGCTTTTTATCTTAGATTGCCACTTCGTGCACTGCACCATTTTAAACTAACATTATACTCACAATGGCACTTCATTCAACTAAAATAGGGCAAAAGTGGTATTACTTATTAGTTGGTCATGTAATATCTTGCATAGATTTTATTAGCATGAAACATTTTTCAGCATGCTTAGCTTCCTGATAATGCCATACCTGCATTAAAGTGCATTTTGCATTTCTCAGTAGACATGAAGATCCCTCTTTGACAGGCCTTGAAATGCTAGCCCTCTTCCCTTTTCTTCCCTGCCCACACTCCAGGAGGGTTTATTTAAATGGATATTGATAAATAAGCAGTAGGGTAACTCTGGCTAATGGTGGTTGAACTGTCTAATATGTCTACATGATTGTAAGGCTTATGTCACAAACAAATATATCTTCTGGATTTTCTTGATCAAAATTCATGTTCATGTAGAGATTTCTGCTTTGTAGTGTACGTATAGTAGCAATAATTTCTGTACATGATCAAGAGTTGATGCAGTATTTCTTTTCCTGCTTTCCTTTTTTAAGGATTCATATTGATAAGTGTAAAGACATGTGTAAAGTTTGTAAGAGAATAAAAATTGAAAGGCAAAGATTTCATTGAATAGGATTACAAATTTTTATTGAACACTGACAAATTTGTAAGATTTAAGAGGGAAGGTTCCAGTTTATACCATTCTGTGTGCAACAATAAATGTAAAACTTTAATCTTGCCTTTGCAAATGTTACACTGAGGATTCAAAACTTGCATTTTATAAATAGCACGTATTATGCAAGTGATTTCTGGCTAAGTGAACAGTTCTTTAAGCGTCTTTTCTAATTCCATTTTGTTTTAAACACATATTAAATGTAGTTTTTTTCATTTAGTAAAGTTGTTTAATTGATTTGAAGTCTGACTGGTTATTCCAATCTTTTTTTTTTTTTTAATACATTAGCCCTTAATGGCATGCATTAGTTGCCATGTGGGTGAAAGGTTGATACTGATACTAATATAAACATTTGATAAGAGTATTTAAAAACACAGTAGTGTTTTTTTCCTGTTTTAAAATCATAGAATTCCTTCAGTTATAAGAATGGTGTAGTGCCAAGTAGCTGAACAAATGTCACTTCCATAATAACGATTAATTTGCAGTTGTGGTTTTCCAGTGCAGTGATAAAAAGTTCTCATCTGACTGCAGAAAGGTGAACTTTTTGAATCATTAACTATATGAGAAAATCATGGTGATAGCCACATTAGGAATTGAGAAGATGGAAGCAAATATTTGCATAGCCAGCCTTTTTATGTAAAACAAATTATCCTTTTTTTACAGGTGCGTTCTTGTCTGAGAATAACGTGTGGAGGTCCAAATATGTTTTATGTCAATAATGTGTACAGCTGAGTTTAACATTCTTTTGGAAAAAAATGCTATTACATCACTGCCCATTTAAGCATGCAAAACCTTATTGAAATACAGTAACATTTTACTTATCAGTATGCTGTAATTGATATCTCTCTTGTCATTTCTTAATATCTGGTAACATAGTGCAATTCTAATATCTGTGAAACAAATGAATAATATAATGGCTAAAACTACCACTTACTATCTTTCTCTTGTAAACAACATCTGGAAGAATAATTTATTGCAAGCGTTTAAGGACTGATCATGATCCATCCTTAGAACTGGTCCATGAATACAAAATCTCCATTGATATATGAGCTCTGGTGGTAGGTTCAGTTTAAAGGTCAATAATATGTCATTTGCAGTTTCTTTTGAATATTTTGGCCATGGGTATATATCCTTTCTGTATAACCAGAATGGAAGCTGTAATGTATTAAGCATGATTTTAAATATTACTTTATTGTCTGTCTTCCCACCCCTTTTTATTCACTACTTGCACAAAAGGAACACAGTCCCTTTTTCTGCATTCTTTCCATAAGGCTGGTATCACTTTTTAGTAGCATTTTTCCACACTTTTATTTCTAAGTAACTTCTACTTACTGTGTGGAGCTTTCATTCCTGCCATTGTTCCATCAAACTGTCATATAAGCAATTTGCTTAAAGACAATCTTGTGCAATGTGGATGGACTGCTAGATTCCTATATAAAGTAGTTCACAGGATAGTTTTTGAATAAGCTGTATAGATGATTTTTTTCCACATGTGTGAATGGACATTAATTGTTTAAAACCCATATTGTGGATGCAGAATATCATATCCAAGCTGGTTGTGTCCTGCCAACCTGGAAGAATATTGAGTTTTAGGAATAAATACTACTAAACCTCTTGATTCTGTATTCATGTCTCTTATTTGCATGTTAACTCACTCCAATCTTACACATTTTTCTCAAGTTGTACAGTATCTACTGTTAAATCAGTTGCAGACATGATGTTTCCAAAACGAAAATACCACTCTAAATGCCGCTAACTTTGTTAAATCTATTTCAAGGCAAGGTAACAAGTTCAATTAAGTTCTCCATTGTTGGAACCGCTTGCTTCAGTAGAATGGATAGGAATAGCTTTCTGTGCAGGCACCCCAACATCTGTTGAATTTTGGGAAACTTCTAGAACACATTCTTGGAGGGTAGAGGAAAAAAAGGCCCTATTGCATAGACAACCTACTCGTGCAGCATTGCGTACTGGCCAATATCCATATTTCATAGTGGTCAGTATCCTAGAGGTGAGCTTAGACAATAAAAAATGAGGGGAAAGAAGTGTTTCCATGAAGAGCAGATGCTAAACCACAGCCAGTCATTTAAGAAATATGGAAGCACGCAAACAGTTTGTTTTCTTTTGGATGGTGCTGCCGAAAGAATGTGAAATGTACAAGTGTCCCTTCCTTGCAGGTAGAAACCTGTGTTCCAGATTTGTGAAACCCTAAATTATTTTGCAGATTAAGTCCCCTATATGAATGTCCCCCTACTCATCTTTTGTAAAAACAAAAGTTTTTGGTGGGTTTTTTTTTTTGCTTGTTAGCAATACTTTCAGTAAAGTTACAGTCTAATATCTGATTCTGCAGTTAACTGAATACTTCAGAAAATGAGGTAGATGGTTATCCATACTTGTACATGAGTTCATGTTGTTTATGAACAGTCAGATTCATTTCTTTGTTGCAGAAATTTTTCTTATTTTGTACATGCCCACAAATGCATTAGAGAATAGACATAATCATTTTTGGTTTTTAAGACAGTTTTAGTGGTATGACATTTTCTGCCGGGACTAGAAGACCTCCAAGGCCCCATCCGACCCCATGATCCTGTGACTTTTTTGCAGGTCTGGTAAAATCCATACATCTTGTCAGGCATTGACCCCCCCCCCCAAAATAATTACGGGTTTGTTGGAATTGCCAATACTAATATTTACAAATTTAGAGCGAAAAAATTGTGGAATAAAGTAAGATCTGTATTAGGTCATTTTGTTACCTTTCGAAGACACTAAGGTATGCACAAACTACCAATTTCAAATAGGTACATTAGAGAGATCCCTCTGATTCTGGTTGGTTAGTTATTTCGTAGGTAGCTTTAATTTTGTGTTTTTAGGTGAAACTTGCAGGTAGTATTGCTTCTGTGTAGATTCATGTAGCCAAATTTCAGATAAATGCCCCATTCCAAAGCCATATAATTTCAGTCCTCTCCCCAAGGCAGAACACACACCTTCAAACCCCTCAAAAAATTTCAATCAATGCAAATCTTCCCCCTCTCTCCAAGGTCTCAAGTATTTTATTCTTTGTCATTCAGCATGATATTCTGTGAAAACTGAACAGAATGGGTCTAAATTTGGTTGGGGAGAAGGCAGATATTATAAAAATGGACCAGATCAGATTGGGAACTATGGGAAAGATGCTCTGTCACAAATGCGAGATGTGCAGCTATAATGAATGAATGAATGAATGAATGAATGAATGAATGAATGAATGAATGAATGAATGAATGAATGGAATTCTTAAAAAAAAACCATCACTAAGAAAGAAGCAGTTGGGAGACCTGCTAAAAATGTTGGCAACTACTCCATTCTAAGCTGCCTTCCCTTCTGGTCATGTGACCCAGGACAGAATCCATGCAGCTTGCCCCATGGTTTCCCATCTGCATATTCACACAAAAATATGACCACTGCTAGTAAAGGAGTTATAATTTTAGAAACCATGTTCAAAAATGCAGATTGAGGTCATCCATTACATGAAATGTATGACTTTTGGGGGGAGTGGGGTAGCCTTGTAAAGCAAGCCATTATGGCTTTATGTTAAATGTAAATAAGCCAACTGTGGATTATTCAATCCTTGATCAAATCATGACTTAAAATAAAGCACATTATCGTCATTTATTACTAAAAAACCATTCAGAAATAAAAATATAATGGAAAGTGAACAATGCACGTTAAATAATAAATGCAACATACAAAATGCAGATTTTAAAACTGGATAGCACTGTTTTGTATAACCAGTACTGGTCAGCACAAAGTAATCTTAGTGCTTTTTAAAAAAATAATTTTCCTGTTAATGGTTTACTGCTAAATAATTTTTTCTAATTTGCTTCACAGCAATAGGCAAAAAAGGTATACTGGATTAATTTCTTTACTGAAACTAGAAATGCAAATTAAGTATACCTAAACAATCATAGTTATTATTAACATGAGTTATCAAACAAGATTCTGGGCAACTTCCAACAGGAAAAAAAAAATACTGGGATGATGAAATATATCTTTGCCTCTCATCCTAATGAGCAATATCAGCAACTGTTGGATTTTTTTATCATTTAGATTGATTATGTGCCATTGAATTGTTTTCCTTCCATCTTTCCTGGCATTACAGACTTCTCAATAGATTCAGCTTTTAACAATGAAATTTATTGGTTTTCCTTTGAACAAGTGCCTGATGATGCTCTGGAATAGGGATCTAAAATTCTTACTGTATATGCAGATACAATCTATCAGTTATTTGGATCCTGATCATACAATTTAGGAGTCAAACCTTCAGGTCCAAAATCATTGCACATCTCTGAATTCTGGATTAAATAAATGTATAAAAGGCCAATGAAGATAATCTGGCACTGAACAGATGATGAAATTTTCATGAAGTCTCAGGCTTATCAAATAGTATTTGTTGGAAATTGCATATATTAAGTGGGTACGCATATTCATTTGTGAAACCTTTGCTTTTTAAATTTAGGATTGGTTGAAAGAAGATAAATTCAAATCAAACTAACCCATCTATGTGATTATAGTCTGTTATACAGGTAGTCCATGACTTATGACCACAACTGGGACCAGAACTTCCATCGCTAAGTGATACGGTCATCAAGTGAATTGTGTCCAATTTTATGACCTTTTTTGCTGCAGTCGTTAAGTATATCATGCAGTCGTTAAGCAAATCTGACTTCCCCCATTGACTGTGCTTGTTGGAAACCCCCTGGGAAGGTCGCAAATGGCAATCATGTGACCCCAGTACGTTGCAACCGTCATAAATACATGCCAGTTGCCAAACGCCTGAATTTTCATAACATGACTGAGGATACTGCAACAGTCGTAAGTGTGAGGACCGGCTGTAAGCACTGTTGTAAGTCAATGGTTGTTAAACGAGTGGTCATAAGTAGAGGACTACCTGTACACAATATGTTCATACTAAGAAGTAACTTTCTGCCTGCTGAAAATCCAATCACGCTGTGTTATCCAAACATCTTAAATTTGTGAACTATCTCTAGCAAATCTATTCATGTCTCAAGTAGCTTTCAGCTGGATTGTGATTAGGTAAATGATCACCTCGCATCCCAGCATGCTTTGTTTGGGTCACATGATGGTAACCTGTGATAATTTGATCAACAGCATTGTACAGAAGCAGGAACAGGCTGAGAGACATGGTCCCTGCTTCAGGGAAATGTAGCAGTATACTCAAGTATAAAAATCCTGGTTTTCTTGATCCT